GGATTTGGCTTCCTCGGGCCTCTGTGCCCAGCACGGAGCAGGACCTTCATCCCCTTCTACAACCTGGCACTGATTTTCCAGAGAGCTCTGGAATGGCAGGAGGCATTCCCTGAACCATCAGGAAGCCCTCAGAGATGCAGGGACCCAGATCTGCCCTGCTTGAGGGGCTGTCACAATCCCCACAGAGCCACAGAGGTCTGGGGTCACCCCCTGGGCTTAGGGGAGCAGGGAAGAACAAGGACCCACCCGAGAAAAAAAGAGGAAAAGTCAAATATAACCCACTGGCACCTGGAATTACCCCTGAAACGCTCTGAGACCCCCTCCCTCCAGCCATGGGTGACATGGGCAGGTCCTGAGGTGACAAGGACACGGGGGTGGTGGGGCCAGGCCCACCAGTGCCCCCCAGTTGCCTGGAAGCTGTTAGGGTTAATGGAACTGCAACTGGGAGAACAACAGTTTATTAAGGCAGGGGACTGGGAGCAGCTGGATTCCAGCACCCCAAAAAGGTCCAAAAGAGCCTGGAGAGAGCCTGAACATTCCCAAAGGCAGCTGGTGATCCAAGGGAATCACTGAGGCAAGAGGCCATGAGAGAGCTCAGCTTCATCTCCCTGAGAGCCTGGAGAAAGCCCTGACATTCCCAAAAAAATTCCCAAAATCAGCCACAGACCAAAAGGTGCTGTTCAGGGAAGAAGCCATGAGAGCATTCAGCTTCCATCTCCCTAAATCAGCCTGAAGAGAGCCCTGACATTCCCAATGAAATTCCCAAAATCAACCAGCTGTTCCCAAATTCCCAAAATCAAAGACTCTGTTCAGGGAGGAAGCCATGAGAACATTCAGCTTCCATCTCCCTGAGAACTTGGAGAGAGCCCTGACATTCCAAATAAAATTCCCAAAATCAAAGACGCTGTTCAGGGAGGAAGCCATGAGAGAGCTCAGCTTTGATCACACTGAGAGTTTGGAGAGAGCACTGACATTCCCAATGAAATTCCCAGCCAGCTGATCCCAAATTCCCAAAATCAAAGACTCTGTTCAGCTTCCATCTCCCTGAGCCAGGCTGGAGAGAGCCCTGATATTCCCAATAAAATTCCCAAAATCAGGGGAATCAAAAATTCCCAAAACCAGCCAGATGTTCCCAAAGTCAAAGACTCTGTTCAGGGAGGAAGCCATGAGAACACTCAGCTTTGATCACGGAGAGAGCCCTGCCATTCCCAACAAAATTCCCAAAACAAACCAGTGATCCAAAGGTGCTGTTCATGAAGGAAGCCATGAGAACATTCAGCTGCCATCTCCCTGAGCCAGCTTGGAGAGAGCCCTGATATTCCCAATGAAATTCCCAAAATGAAAGACGCTGTTCAGGGAGGAAGCCATGAGAGAGCTCAGCTTCCATCTCCCTGAGCCAGCCTGGAGAAAGCCTTGACATTCCCAATAAAATTCCCAAAATCAGGGGAATCAAAAATTCCCAAAACCAGCCAGATGTTCCCAAATTCCCAAAATCAAAGACTCTGTTCAGGGAGGAAGCCATGAGAGCACTCAGCTTTGATCACACTGAGAGCCCTGACATTCCCAATGAAATTCCCAAAATCCAAGATGCTGTTCAGAGAGGAAGCCATGAGAGCTCTCAGCTTTGGTCACACTGAGAGCCCTGACATTCCAAATAAAATTCCCAAAATCAACCAGTGATCCAAAGGCACTGTTCATGAAGGAAGCCATGAGAACACTCAGTTTTGATCACGGAGAGAGCCCTGACATACCAAATAAAATTCCCAAAATCAAAGACGCTGTTCAGGGAGGAAGCCATGAGAACACTCAGCTTTGATCACAGAGAGAG